GGGGCTGCTCCTGGCCTGGACTGTGGCCTGCCTCAGGGGGCCCCTCCACCTCCCGCTCTCCCTGAGCTGGCGTTCTCTCTCTATCTATCTCTCTTTATCTCTATCTCTCTCATTCTCTATCTCTCTCATTCTCTCTCTCTCTCTCTCTCACTCTCTCACTCTCTCTCTCACTCTCTCTCATTCTCTCTCTATCTCTCTCATTCTCTCTCTCTCTCTCTCACTCTCTCACTCTCTCTCTCTCTCTCTCTCACTCTCTCTCTCTCTCTCTCTCTCACTCTCTTACTCCCTTTCACACTGAGGCCTCGTGCAGGCCTCGCCTGTGCCAGGAACTGCCAGGGGCACTGTCCTCTCTGCTGCCCACCCTCAGCTCTCAGCCCCTCGCTGTTCCGAGTCACCTGGGCCTTTGGCATCCCCCCCCATCACTCCCCCAGGCACCTGTCTGCCCTCCCTCCCTCCCTTCCCCTCTCTGTCTCCCTCAGGGGTCTGCTGTGCAGGCGAGAGGCCTCAGCGGGGCCTCGGCAGCGGCAGCCTCCTGCTCCTCCCCGCTCACCCTCCAGGGTAAAAGCTGGGAGGACAGACTCCGGAGTGAGCACCGCCCTCCGCCGGGCGGACGGGGAGGACAGGGGAAGAGCTGGCCACCAGACGGCCATTCCCTAAAAGGACAGACAGACCCGGGGACCATGTGCAAACGCCATGTCTGACCAGGGGCTCGGACCCCGTGCCCGAGGAGCACCCGCGCTCGGCAGCAAAGGGACAAACAGCCGACGGGCAGGCTGCCTGCGGAGAGCCGTCTCCAGAGGAAACGAACGTGGACGCATGCCCGACAGGAGCACAGGCCCCGCCTGAAGCACCGGCTCCGTGCTACGGCCCTTTGAGCGTCCAGCTCACAGGTCTCCGCCTCACTGGGCGGCCGGGAAAGGGGAAGAAAGGAACGCAGTTCAGAGCCGCCTGAGAGACACTTCCCACCGCCAGCCTCCCAGGGAGTTATAGTAATCACCAGTAACCAGTGTGGGCAGCGAGGCAGAGCTCTGGAAAACTGCATCACGCACAGACTTCCGGGGTAAAGTGCCAAAAAGAAAAACATTCCCACCCAAAAACACTTTATTTTTAATTATTTTTTAATTGATTTCATAGAGGAAGGGAAAGAGAGAGGAAGATAGAAACATCAATGGTGAGAGAGACTCAGTGATCGGCTACTCCCTGCACACACCCCTACGGGGGATCGAGTCCGAAACCCAGGCATGTGCTCTTGACCAGAATTGAACCTGGGACCCTTCACCCCATAGGCCGATACTCTATCCACTTAGCCACACCAGCCAGAGCCAAAAAGCATGTACGTCAATGTCACAGCTGCATTGTCTCTAACAGGTAAGAAGCAGGAGCAGCCCAGTTCACCCCCTGAGGAATGGCTGAGTGAAGGTGGTAGCACATTCAGAGAATGAAACATTTCCCATGAAACAGGACTAAAGTGCCCGGCCATCGTGGCTCAATGGTTCCGTATCCAACCAGGAACCAGGAGGTCACGGTCAAGGGCACATGCCAGGTTTGTGGGCTCCATCCTCAGCGTGGGGCGTGTAGGAGGCAGCCAATCGATGATTCTCTCTCATCAATAATGTGTCTGTCTCTCTCTGTCTCTCTCTGTCTCTCTCTCTCTCTCTCTCTCTCTCTCTTTGAAATCAATAAAAATATCTTAACTCAGAAGATTAAAAAAATAATAATAAAATAAGGACAAGAAAACAGTATTGCCCAGGATTATAACATTTTTGTTTTTTAGTTTCTTGTGTGTGTGGTGTGTGTTTTAAAGCATATTATGTATTTCCTTTTGTGCACTAAGTGAATGTTTGCAATGAGAAATATAATTCATAAAAGGACAAGTATTGTATGTATTTTTTCATAATGCATCTTTCCTCGGCCAACTTCTCTAGGCCTCTCTAAAACCTTCACTAACATTAAAAAAAAATCAGTTTTCTATTTTCATCTGTACCTTCGTTAAATTTAGATTAAAAGTACAACTCTGTTCTACAACAGGAAAAAAAAAAAAACCTTAAAAAAAAAAGAGTAAAGTACTGATCTGTGCTACATGCACCTCACACGCTGGAGCTGAATGGGGGAGAGGTGAGGGAAGACCACAGGCTGACCAGCTCCACATGAGGACATGCTCAGACAGACGACGCGATGGAGACAGTGTGGGGGCGGCTGGCCGGGGAGGGGCTGGGGCAGGGAGGTCACGGAGGGACAGGGCTGCTCCGGGAAATGGTGAGAATGTTCTAGAATGAACCATGGAGGGGGTTGCCCAGCTCGGGAAGGATGTGGGCTCCACATTCTCTCTCACACAGCTGCCCTCCGTCAGCAGGAACGGGGAAGAGCATCCCGTCCACAGGAGAGAACAGACCCCCAGTTCCCTCGGGGGACCCTCGGTGACCGTGGCCACTGAGTGTGCCATTTCCTCTCAGGCCGCACCGCCATCGCCCACCGGCCCCGGAGCCAAGTCCTGGGGTTACTGACGGGGTGACTGACACACCGGGAAAAGGAAACCCGGGGCTCGGGGCGCCCCCCTGGTGTGATTTCTGAGAAAGCCACCCTGAGGGTGAGGTCATGGGGTGTTACCTCCGGGATGGTCGCGGGACCACAGGGGTTACCGTGAACGTCACTGCTCGGCACAGGGAGGGCGGAGCCATTGATCATAGATAAGGTGACCAGGTCATCCTGCTTTTGGTGGGACAGTCCTGCTTTTTAACATTTTTTCCCCGCGTCCCGCAGCATTTAAAAAAAGTCCCGTTTTTTTGCAAAAAAATCTGGACTTTTTTAAAACGCCGCAGGACGCGGGAAAAATTGTTAAAAAGCAGGACGATCTGTTCACCTTATCATAGGAGGCCCCCATGCTGCTCCTTTGGGTCCGATGCTGAGCCGCCGGCGGAGCCCAGGGCTGGAACAAAACAGCCGTGTCTCACCCCGTTCTCCTTCAGCGGAGTCCAGAAGGAAGGGGGACAGAGGAAAGGAAGAGAGGGAGCGAGAAAGGGGAAGGGAGGGAGGGAAGGAGAGAAGGAGGGGAGAGGGAGGGGAAGGGAAGGAGGGAGGGAGGGAGGGAGGGAGGAGAGACAGGTGCGGCCGCGGCTCTGGCCTAGGCAGTCAGACAGACATGAGCAGAGCGGGGGGCCATGGGCCAGGTACAAAGTCACCAGGCACACAGCCCCTGCCCGGCCAGGGACAGAGCTGGGAAGCAGGGACCTCGCCCAGGGTGGCCTCCTCTCCTGGGCGGCCTGGCCCTGCAGTCGGACCCCTGCCCGCTCCTCCTCAGAGCAGCACACAGGCCTCGGTGGTTCTGGCTCCAGGCCCAGAAAAGCAACAACACCAGCCCAACGACGCTGAGTCTGCCCCGGGACCGGCCAGACCGGCCCCTGCCCTCCGCTCAGCACCGACCACTCCGGGGAGATCAGGCCCCTGGGAGCTGATGGACCCTCTGCTGAGGTCCTCCCCGAAGGCCCCCGAACTCTCAGCCTTTAAAACCCTCTGGTCAGTCGAAACCGGTTTGGCTAAATGGATAGAGCGTCGGCTTGGGGACTGAAAGGTCCCGGGTTCGATTCTGGTCAAGGGCATGTACCTTGGTTGCGGGCATATCCCCAGTGGGGGGTGTGCAAGAGGCAGCTGATCGATGACTCTCTCTCATTGATGTTTCTAACTCTAACTCTCTCCCTTCCTCTCCGTACAAAATCAATAAAATATATTTTTAAAATAAAAATAAAAATAAATAAAATAAAAAATAAAACCCTCTGGTCAGAGAACCTGCCCACGCTCCCTGCAGGGAGACCTCAGTGCCATGCCTGCCCCCTCTCTTCCCCCACCCCCCACCCCCAGGCAGGTGCCTCCTAACCGCTAATCAGCCCCAGGGGACCAGCCACCATGAGAGCAATGGGCATTGGCAGCGTGTCCTGGCTGACCCCTGACCTGCCCCCCAGGCCCCTGCTCTCAGACCTCCCATGAGCCAGCAGCGGCCTGGGCTCCTGTGGCTGTCCTAGGCCCCCTGCCTCCTGTCCGGGCTCTAACGGACAGCACCCCTGGGGGCTTGCTTCTCGGGAAGCATCTGCCCTCGGACTCGCTCACTGTGGCCAGCACCTCCCGTCCCTTCGCGTGCCTGTCCCTGGCGGCAATCTTCCCCTCGAGGGGACGCACACTGAGGTCTCATCATCTTGCTGGTCACAAACCTAAAGCTGTGACGCCCTGCCGAGACCGGTGTGGCTCAGTGATAGAGCGTCGGCCTGCGGACTGAAAGGTCCCAAGTTCGACTCCGGTCAAGGGCGTGTACCTTGGTTGCGGGCCCAGCCCCAGTGGGGGTGTGCAGGAGGCAGCTGGTTGATGTTTCTCTCTCATCGGTGTTTCTAACTCTCTCTCTCTCTCTCTTCCCATCTGTGAAAAATCAATAAAATGTGTTTTTTTAAAATAATTAAAAAATAAAGCTGTGATGTCCGTCGGGTGGAGGAGCGCCCATCCCCATGCCTGCCTCGGAGCCCAGGCGGGAGCACCCCTGGCCGGGCGGAGGGGCAGGGGGTCCAGGCAGGAGCTTTCAGACAAAGAGCCCTGGCCCTGTGGCTCCCAGGACCAGAGAGAACAGGGGGCCGTCTGCTCTGACCGCGTGAGGACGGCTGTCCCAGCGCTAACGGGCCTGAGCCCCTCTCCCACGCCACCCGTGGGCGTGGAGGACTGTGGCTGATGCGGGAAGCGGGACCCCTCCCGGCAGCGGGACACGCAGGCCTTCCCAGGGGGGTGCTCCCGTCTGAGGACCCCGAGGTCACCCTCCTCCTCGCCCCGCCCACGAGGAATTGCCCCCACACACACACACCCCAGCCCAGGGGGCCTAAGCCGCAGAGCTGTTCTCACGTCTGTTCTTTCACTTCCTACAGCTCGGCTTTGAAACTGAGGGGGGCGGGGGAGGAAGCCACATCCTCTGAGCCCAGAATAAAGAGCCGGGGGTCAGCGCGGAGCACAGACCCCAGCTGGACACCATGAGGGACTCCCCGGCAGCACTGGCCTCCGCTCTCTCCGCGGCCACCTTCCTCCTGCTCCTCCCCGCAGGTAAGACGTCCCCCTCACGCCTCTCCTCTGCGTGATTCTTCCATTCTTCTCCGCCAAAGGGCCTGGCGCCCCCAGGCTCGCTGCTGCCCGTTGGCAAACTGCCTGCGAGGACGGGAAGTGGCAGGCGGCTCTCAGAGGGCCGGGGCCTCTGCCTCTCTCGCTGCAGAAAGTGCAGGCGTTCCAAGGAGCTGCAGGAGCAGGCCCGCCCCTGTAGGGGATCCGGGATGAGGAGGGTTATAATCGAGTGGCTGGTGTGTTCAGTGGGGAGAGCATCGGCCCAAGCGCCGAAGGATCACAGGTTCGATTCCCGTCAAGGGCAGTACCTGGCTGGGTGGCTGGTTTGATCCCCAGCCCGAGGGTGCGTGCCGGGGGCAACCAGTTGTTCTCTCTCCCCACTTCCTTCCCTTCCTCCCTCCCCCACCCCACTCTCTCTAAGAATCAATGGGAAAACAGCCTCGGGTGAGGATTAACAAAAGTTAAAAAAAAAAAAAATTTCATCCTCTCTCGAGGCTAGCATGTCCTTGGACACGGGGAGCTGCCGAGTCCGTGGCTGTGCCTCACACGCCTGTTCTGTGTGTCCGTGTGACCTGGAACCACGCTCTCTCTGGGGGTCAGACAGCCCTGGGGGGCAGGGAGGCTTTCTCTAAATCTCCTGGGAGCTCGGGCGGCCGGCCTCCTGGGCGAGGGAGGGGCACGTGGGCTCCCAGGTCCCCGCGGGAGGGGCCGGGGCAGCGGCCGAGGACACAGCAGCCTTCTCCCCGAGGTCCCCAGGGAGCGCCCCTGGTGCCTCCTGCACCTGACCCGGGGACGGAATTCCTGAGGCGCCGGCCGCAGGTCCTTCGGGACAAAGGGGTTGGCACGTGCAGTGTCCGCTCGGCCCTGGGGGAGGCTCTTCCACGGGAACCAGAGCAGGCGGGGCTTTGTCCTAGCTGTTCTTCAGAGGAAACCGCCCCAGCCAGCCCCCAGGCCCCAGGCCCCCAGGCCCCAGCCCCTCTGCCCACTGGGTGTCCTGCCATCAGAGAGCAATGTGGGCCCAGCGAGGCCCAGGCCCAGCGAGGTCCGGCCCAGCGAGGCCCAGGCCCAGCGAGGCAGGGCTGGTGATGACTCAGCCCCACACGGCGGAACACTCCAGAGACTTTAAATACCTACCCCCAGCAGTTCCCACCAATTTTGGCTCTGGGTGGGTGGGGACCTGGAGCGGCTAGTGCTCAAGCCATCCCGTCCCGTCTGGTCTGTCTGAAGCGGCCTCCGAGGGGTGGGAGGTGGGAGGTGGGGGGTGTGGGGGGTGGGAGGTGGGGGGTGGGGGGTGGGGGTGGGAGGTGGGGGATGGGGGGTGGGGGTGGGAGGTGTGGGGTGGGAGGTGGGGGGTGGGGGTCGGGGATAGGGGTAGGGTGGGGGTGGGGGGTGGGAGGTGGGGGGTGGGAGGTGGGGGGTGGGGGGTGGGGGTGGGAGGTGGGGGGTGGGGGTGGTAGGTGGGGGGTGGGGGGTGGGGGTAGGGTGGGCGTGGGGGTGGGGGGTGGGGGTAGGGTGGGCGTGGGGGTGGGGGTGGGGGGTGGGGGTGGGAGGTGGAGGGCGGGGCTGTGGCCTTCCCCGGAGGCGTGTGTGTCGCCCTGTCCCTGTCTGGCGAGCGGCTCTCTTTGCCGAAGGCCCAGGGCAGGGGCCCTGCCTCCCCGGCAGCACGAGGGAGAGGGTGCGGCTGGAGCTCTGGGCCCTCCGGTTCCTCCTCTCGCACTTCCAGAGCCCGCGGCCCCTCCCCTCCCTCTGGCAGCCAGAGCCCCCTCCCTCCCGCCCCCCTGGCAGCCAGAGCCCGCGGCCCCCGCCCCTCCCTCCCAGGCTAGGAGGGCGCTGAGGCCGGGAGGGCGTCTCCAGGGACCGGAACTCCCGGGCAAGGTCGCAGCTGAGAGGCCTGGTGAGCAGGGGCAGCTCTCAGCTCTCACCCCCTCCCCCCCAGCTGTCACTCAGCCTGCAAGGGAGGCACCGAACAGTCAGCATCACCAGTGTCTCCGTGGCAATTGTTCCCTGGAGACCAATGCACACCAATCCTCCCCCAAAGGGTCACATTTCCGCCTGTGACCCTGGGAGTGACAGGGGGTGGCTTCTGGGGGGGGGGGGGACTGGGACCTCTGGGAGGGCCTGGCACCCACACGCCCCCGGGACCCCGGCGATGGCGCTGCCCTGCCCTCCTCGGACGGACCTCTGGCCTGGGAGCGAGGTTTGGGGCGAGGTTGGGGCGAGGTTGGAGCGAGGTTTGGGGCGAGGTTGGGGAGAGGTTGGGGCGAGGTTTGGGGTGAGGTTGGGGCGAGGTTGGGGCGAGCTCGAACACCCGGTGACGTGCTCTTCCCTCTGACAGGCCTCTGCGGGCGAATCGTCGGAGGATGGGAAGTGCCGGCTCACTCGAGGCCCTACATGGCGCTGGTCCACAGCGGCCCCAAAGGCAGCCTCTGTGCGGGGGCGCTGGTCGCCGACGGCTGGGTGCTGACGGCCGCCCACTGCGCCCTGTGAGTGCTGTTCCAGGCGAGGGTGTGGGGCCTTCTCACGGGGACTGTTATTTAAAAAGTGAACGCCCCCCAAGCCATGGAGACTCAATGGCTCCAGAGCTGGAACCCAGGAGCTGAGGTCAGATGGGGCCCCCGAGAGCGAGCCCCAGAGGCAGCAGCCCGGGTCCTCCTGCTCGCCGCAGCCCCCCATCCAGCCCCACCCCACCTCTCTTTCTTCCATTGAGAAAATGAAAGAAAGAGACAGACACAGAGATGGAAAGAAAAGCTGGGGCCGGGTGGGACCACGGTCCTCTGATGGAGACAGGGACCCAGAGCCAATACTGCGCATTTATTTTAGACAGCAAACCCAGGAGGTTTTACTAAAGCCCCACGAAGGAGATTATGTGCGTTCTTGGTGGGCCCGGTTGTATTCCTTCCTGGTGCTTGGCTGGATTTAGATAACGGAACCCACCCCCTGGCACCTGAGCTGAAGGTCAGGCTGACAACACTCCTGCCTCTGGCAAGGTGTGTTTCCAAGACGGGGCTCTGCCAACGCCACCGATTCAGCTGACGGTAACTAAAAAAATGCCCGCGTGCCTGCCCAGGCATGCTCTGCCGATGATGACGACTTCATGAGCATTCACTTGTTGTCTTTCAAGTTCTGAGCTGCAGACAAGCATTTGCACGGCGAACGCCTTTAGAAATGGACCATGAAAGTGACCGGCACACGACTCAGGGGCGTAAACCGTTCACAGGGCTGCGTCTTTTTCAGGAGCAGATCGGCCCAGGTCATCCTGGGGGCCCACTCCAAGTCCAAGCAGGAGCCAGAGAAGCAGATCCTGGGCGTGAGGAAGCAGATCCCCTACCCGTACTACAGCAAGGCCAGGCACGAGGGTGACCTCAAACTTCTAAAGGCACGTACCTCTGACTGTGCCTGTGACCGACTTCAACGCCACCGAGCCTCCCGCCATCCGGCCGCGCACGGCGAGCTTTCTCGGTGCCCTGTAGCTACAGACTGTAGCCACGGGAGGGGGCTCCCAGGGTTAGAAGCATGCCAGTATTCTAATGATCCCATTCCCTTCCCTCTTTGTGCTTTTCTCCCCACAGTTGAGGGGGAAAGCAACAATTAACAAAAACGTGGCTATTCTGAGTCTCCCTCTCAGGGGGGAAGACGTAAAACCAGGAACCAAATGCCACGTGGCTGGCTGGGGGCTGATGCACAATGACAAGCTGTCCCAGCCCAATACGCTGAGAGAAGTCAATGTCACCGTCCTGGACAGGAAGACCTGCAACGGCCCCAAGTACTATGGGCACGACCCTGTGATCACACGGGATATGATCTGTGCTGGAGACCCCAAGGGCGGGAGAGACACGTGCAATGTAAGTGAAAGGCGACCCCGCACTTGGGCTTTGGGGTCAGTTGCGCAGAAATAGAAAAGGCAACAACATGCTCAGCCCTCACCACGCCCAGCCCTCTCACCACACCTGGCCCTCTCACCACTCACCACGCCGGCCCTCTCACCACGCCTGGCCCTCTCACCACTCACCATGCTCGGCCCTCTCACCACGCTCGGCCCTCTCCTAAAGCAGAGATGACCTCAAAGGCAGAGGCTAACAGGCAGGAATGCATGTTTCCCTGTAACTTTCCCTGGTTTCTAAGTTAAGTCAACTTAAAAACATTAAAATATTCCCAATGTTTGGGGTGTTAAGCACGAACTTTCAGGTAAGAGGTTGGTCTTAACGCCACATTGAAAGGAGTTGCTTCTACTCCATGGGCGTGTTCTCCGTGGGCGGGTTCTCCATGGGCGTGCTCTCCATGGGCGTGTTCTCCGTGGGCGGGTTCCCCGTGGGCGTGTTCTCCGTGGGCGTGTTCTCTGTTGGCATGTTCTCCATGGGCGTGTTCTCCGTGGGCAGGTTTCCCGTGGGCGGGTTTCCCGTGGGCGTGTTCTCCATGGGCATGTTCTCCGTGGATGTGTTCTCCATGGGCATGTTCTCCATGGATGTGTTCCCCGTGGGCGGGTTCTCCATGGATGTGTTCTCCATGGATGTGTTCTCCATGGGTGTGTTATCCATGGCGTGTTCTCCATGGCGTGTTCTCCATGGGTGTGTTATCCATGGCGTGTTCTCCATGGCGTGTTCTCCTTTGGCTGGCTGGGTGCTCACAGCCCTCCCCCTTTTGTCTTGCAGGGGGATTCCGGGAGCCCCCTGATCTGCGAGGGCACCTTCAGGGCCGTCACCTCCTTCGGGAAGCAGGGCCGGTGCGGGGACCCCTGGGGCCCTGGTGTCTACACGCTGCTCTCCCAGAAGCACCTCAACTGGATCAGGAAGACCATTCGGAGGGCGGCCTAGGTCCCGGGCTGCGTCCCCCCTGCTGCCGCGCCTCAGCCGCCACAGATAAAGACAGCTTCCCCGAAGCCGGTGTGGCTCCGTGGATAGAGCGTCGGCCTGCGGACTGAAGAGTCCTGGGTTCGATTCCGGTCAAGGGCATGTTCCTTGGTTGCTGGCACATCCCCAGTGGGGAGTGTGCAGGAGGCAGCTGATCGATGTTTCTAACTCTCTTCCCCTCTCTCTTCCTCTCTGTAAGAAATCAATAAAATATGTTTTTTTAAAAACAGCTTGCAGGACTGTCCGGGCTCCCACTGTCACTCCGTGGCAGATCCGCCGGGGAAGGGAGGCAGGGTCGCAGCGTGGCCTGGGGAGGGCCGGGCGGCAGGGACCACGTCACCCCGGTGGCAGGTGATAAGGCAGAGCCAGGGCTGAAATGCCGAGCGGCCTCCACAGGAAGCTAGCAGCGGCCGTGCGGGTCCATGCGGCCGGCACAGCGACCACAGAGCACGCCGTAGCTGCCGGCAGCGGCAGGGACTCCTCACCAACGAGATGCTGAGTGCAGGAAGCCGGACGCAAACGGGAGTATTTCCTGAGTGACTCCACTTCTCTGAAGGTGGGCATAAGGCAAACTAACCCGAGGAGGCAGGGGTTAGAATCGAAGACGGGTGCTGAGTCGGAGGAGGAGACGGAGGGGCCAGGAGAGGAAGGAGGACAAGGAGGAGGGGGAAGAAGAAGAGTAGGAGGAGGAGGAAGAGGAAGAGGAAGAGAAAGAGGAAGAAGAGGAGGAGGAGAAGGAGGGGCCAGGAGAAGAAGGAGGACAAGGAGGAGGGGGAGGAAGAGGAGGAAGAGGAGGGGGAGGAGGAGGAAGAGGAGGAAGAGGAGGAGGAGGAGGAGGACAGAGGAGACATAGGGGCCAGGAGAGGAAGGAGGACAAGGAGGAGGGGGAGGAGGAGGAGGAGGAAGAGGAGAAGGAGGAAGAGGAGGAGGAGGAGTAGCAGAGAGAGGAGATGGAGGGGCCAGGAGAGGAAAGAGGACAAGGAGGAGGGGGAGGAGGAGGAGGAGGAAGAGGAGAAGGAGGAAGAGGAGGAGGAGGAGTAGCAGAGAGAGGAGATGGAGGGGCCAGGAGAGGAAAGAGGACAAGGAGGAGGGGGAGGAAGAGGAGGAGGAGGAGGAGGAGGGGAAGGAAGAGGAGGAGGAGCAGGGGGAGGAAGAGGAGGAGGAGCAGGGGGAGGAAGAGGAGGAGGAAGAAGAGGAGGAGGAGGAAAAGGAGGAGGAGGAGGAGAGAGAGGAGACGGAGGGTCAGAGACGGGTGTGGGGCAGCCTCGGGGGAAGCAAAGCCCCCCCCCAGCGAGAAGCTCAGAGCCCCCTCAGGAAGGCCCCTCGTCCAGCTGGACCTCAGCAGCCCCCGCAGGAGACAGGCACACAGCACTGTTGCTCAGCCGAGGGCACGGGCACTCAGGGCCAGGGTGGCAGCAGCGCCCCCCACAGGCCGGGCCATCCTCTGCGGCAGCGCCCGTGGGTGTCTGGGCTCCAGGTGGCGGGTGGGGAGGAGGCAGTGGTGGCCGCTGTCCCGCTGGTGCCGAGGCTGGGAAGCCGCCCGCCAGGTGTGGCCACGGGTCCCCCAGCCCAGGGCCGGGGGAACCGCCCTCGGAGCCGGCCTCCTCCGGGGCTGAGTGCAGGCCCGGCAGCCTGGCCGGGCTAAGGGGGCGCCTGCCCCCTCACATGTGGGAGCTCCTTTCACGCCCCTCGCGGTTCAGGGTTGGGGTTCAGGGTTCGGGTCCTGGAAAAGGCCACATGAATGAGACTAGGAAAGTAGTAATTTGGGAACATTGGGGGCCAGGCTGGAGCCCAAGAGGGGCTACACCCTGCTCGGGCCTTGCTGTTCCTTTTTGTTGAGACTGTGGATGTACAGGCAGGGAACTCCAATACCAGGAATTTACCGGAGAAAACAGTGGAGACCCTTCCGCTAACACTGTCTCAGCGAAGCGGCGAGTGGTGAGAGCAGTTAAGGTTGTTGAGCAGCCTCCCGGGTCTCCGGTCCGCATCCCTCTATTAGTGAGACAGCGACCGGTCTCCGGCACTCCCCGCGTCCTGTGCTGCCGCCCCGCGTCCTGTGCTGCCGCCCCGCGCCCTCCTCGGCCTCGGCAGCAGGCATGTCCTCGCTCCAGAAGCCTGTCCAGCGGGGCCTCCCTCGGGGGTCCAGGCCCTGCCCCCGCCCCTTGGGCTCCTGCAGCTCAGGCCACCTTTGACCTGTGGCCTCAGGCTCCGGGTCGGCCCCGGGAGCCACACTCCTCTTCCACGTGTCTCTGCAAGGACACGTGTTTGACGTGTACAGTAAGTGCCTCCGAGCAGGCCGCCCTCGTGCAGGTGTTCCCGAAAACGTAAGACAAATGTGTGTTTCTCCCGCCCCAGCCACAGCCCAGGACCTCCTGAGCGTGCACCGGGCACAGGAGCTGCGGGCTGCATGGACCCCGTGGCGGGGAGGGGGAACACGTGCGGACAGGAGCCACGGCCCATCTGGTTCTTCCAACAACAAACAGCACGTGTAGGCCAGAGCACGGGACACATTGTCGTTCCAACGTTCCAGCTCCCGGCTGCACCGTCATCCGCTCACGGACCACCCGGCGGCCGGGAAACACGGATCCGCACGCGGGGAGGACCCGGCGGCCGGGGAACACGGATCCACACGGTGGGGACGGGCTGGCAGCCAGGGAACACGGATCCACACGGCGGGGAGGACCTGGCAACTGGGAACACGGACCCGCACGCAGGGAGGACCTGGCTGCTGGGAACACGGACCCGCACGGCGGGGACGGGCTGGCAGCCAGGGAACACGGATCCGCACGCGGGGAGGACCTGGCGGCTGGGAACACAGATCCACACGGTGGGGACGGGCTGGCAGCTGGGGAACGTGGATCCCGCACGGCGGGGACAGCCTGGCAGCTGGGGAACACGGATCCACACAGCGGGGAGGACCTGGCAGCTGGGAACACGGATCCACACCGCGGGGACGACCTGGCGGCTGGGAACACGGACCCGCACAGCGGGGACCAGGCTTTGTCCCTGAGCTCGTGCCGGCCCTCGGGATCCCAGAGGCCCGCTGACCCCACAGGTGATGGGAACAATGAAGGGGAGAGACCGGCCGTCACGCTGAGACACAAGCTCAGGTGCAGAGGGAGAACAGAGCCCGGGTGAGCTTACACCAGCGGCCGGCCACCTCATCCGTCCACAGAGCCAAAGCCACAGGACCACAACTGACATTCCGTTGGGGAGCCACATTTTTTAAACTTAAACTTCCTCTAACGCCACTTCTCCAACACAGACTCGCCCAGGCCGTGGTGTTTCGTGGAAGAGCCACACTCATGGGGCCAAAGAGCCGCCTGTGGCTCGAGAGCCGCAGTTTGCCGACCACGGGCTGCACCCATCCGCCCCGCGAGGACAATGCACTGACTCACACGGAGCACACGATGCCGGCCGAAGGGGGCGGCGGCTCTTGCGGGCAGACACGGAGACGCCGCCTCACGCGTGAGCATTCCTCCTGTCACAGGAGATTGCACCGCCAGAGACATGTCTGCGTTCTGCCCGTCCCACCGCAGCCGGGGGCCTGCGCCCGGCTCAGCTCCGCCCGCAGACACGGTCCCTCGGCCCTGCTCCTCGGCGTCCGGCCGAGCACACAGAGCTGCTCTCGGCCGGCCGGCCCCCGGGACCCTCTGAGGTCGGGACTGCATCTGACGTTCCGTTTCAATTCTCATCACAACACCCACGGAAGGCAGACCACAGGCCACAGCCTTCTCGTCTCTCCAGCTGAGAAATGACACGCTCAACAGGAACTGAGCCACCCCGGCGCCCGCGGCCCCGCGGCTGCAGCTGAGCAAAGCGTGACCCCGCGATGCTCCGCCGGGCGGCCTCGGCGGCACCGGGCACCTGCGGGCGAGGCAGAGGCAGGGGCGAGGCTGCTCCGGCTCCGGCTCTGCCCCAAGGGCTCCACAGAACGCCAGGGGAGCTTCCTGTGAGAAATGGAGAGGCATGCGCGTGTGTTACGCCGTGGTGCACGCTTGAAAGTTGTTGAGAGAGTCGGCCTGAAAAGTCCTCCTTGCACGGAACACGCAGGTAGAAATCTAACAGAACATGCGCAATGGTTGTAGGAGGAAAATTACGGAACTCTCGTCAAAGAAAACCCGGTAAATGGATCGTCCACCTGCATGGGTAAGAAGATTCAGTACCGTTACGATGTCAGTTCTTTCCACATCGATTTAAAGACTCAGTGCATGCCGGAACCGGTTTGGCTCAATGGATAGAGCGTCGGCTTGGGGACTGAAGGGTCCTGGGTTCGATTCCGGTCAAGGGCATGTACCTTGGTTGCAGGCATATCCCCAGTAGAGGGTGTGCAAGAGGCAGCTGATCGATGGCTCTCTCTCATCGATGTTTCTAACTCTGTATCTCTCTCCCTTCCTCTCTGTAAAAAATCAATAAAATATATATTTTAAAAAAATAAATAAATAAATAAATAAATAAATAAATAAATAAAGACTCAGTGCAATCCTGGTAAGTTGTTTTTTTTTAAATGCTGACAAACAGATTCTGAAGTTTATCTGGAGGGCAGAAGCCCCAGAGTAGTGAACACAGCCCGGGGTGAGAGGAGCCGAGCTGAGGGACCACCGGCACCGTCCAATGTCGAGGCTCGCCAGCAACTGTAGGAACCAACGAGGGGGACGTTGGCAGAGACGAGGGAACTGGTCAGTGGGACAGACCCGTGGTCAGTCCACAGAGCCGAATATCAGCAGCACAACGATGGACATTTCTTTGGAGAGCCGCACTTTCTAACCGTAAACTCTTTAGGCAGGTACATCGTTCAGAAGGAAGGAGGGGGGAGAATCTCTCATGTCCCATGTGAGGGTCAACCTTTGAGCCCAGGAGTTGCTATAGTAACCAGACTAAGGGAATCGTGACCAATCAGAGGGGCTATCAAGGCACCAAGTTCTGCAGCCTTTATAAGCTGCAGGGAAAGGGAACCCAGCGGGACTCTATCCCCCTCCCCCACGTGGAGTCCATCCTGTGGGACCCTCCTTCCTCCCCCCCCACGTGGAGTCTGTACTTGTTCCTCCATAAACCTTCACCTTTGCTAGACCACTTTTCTTTTTTTTTTTTTTTTTTAATCAATCTTTATTGTTCATATTATTACAAAGGTTCCTCATTTCTTCCCCCCTCCACCAGGTTCCCACCCCACCCTCCGTCCCTCCCCCCATCCCCCATTGTCCTCATCCATAGGTGCAGTTTATGTTCAGTCTCTTCTTCCCTCAATTTCCCCAATAGTAAATCCCTTTTCAGATAGTAAATCAGTTACTTAGCATTTTCTCATATCAATAATACCTCCACATGCCCAATGATACACTTCACACAAAAGACATTTCCCACAAGGTCAACCAGCCTCATCCAGGCCCCACCCAAGGCACTCACAGATCAACACCCCAGTCCTAAACTAACTCAACACATCCAGATCTAAGCCTTCATCACTTGATTCAGCAGACCCTCAAGTTCCCACGAAAGTTTCCAGCCATGTCTGAGAAGCAGCCGTGGGGCAGGGGCAGGCAGGGAGCGAGCTGTTCTGGGCCTGGCTGCTCAGGGCCTGGCCTCTGTTGCTCTGGTTCATTCCACAATCAGCTGCTCCGGGGCTAGACCACTTTTCTGTCTGTGGGTTCAGTCTTGATCCAGCAGCCAAAGAATCCAGGGTCCAGTCCAAAAGCGGGGTGTCACTGGAAGGCCTCGCCAGTTGAAACAGCCCAGCGGGGCGCCTGGACCGGGCGTGGAGGGCACCCTGCTTTCTCCCAGAGCCCGATGCTTCATCGGTAGGCCCAGCCTGTTGGTGAACCATCTTCAGAACTAAGTGTTTTAGCTGTAACCGGTGTGGCCCAGTGGATAGAGCGTCAGCCCTCGGACTGAAGGGTCCTGGGTTCGATTCTGGTCGAGGGTTGCAGGCACATCCCCAGTGGGGGGTGTGCAGGAGGTGGATGATTGATGTTTCTCTCTCATCAATGTTTCTAACTCTGCATCCCTCTCCCTTCCTCTCTGTAAAAAAAACAATTAAAAAATATATTAAAAAAACAAAAAAGATCTAAGTGTTGTAGATGCACCTGGCCCAGGGGCATGGGTGCTCCGGTGGGAAGTGCCCGCCCTGGGACCCTCATCTGCTCGATGGCAAGTTCATTTCCTGCCGTCAGTCATGGCCAGAAATACTGCCGTGTCCCTGACCATCGCTGTTTACCACCGTCGTCACCTGGCATTGCCTTGGCTGGGCCAGGTCGGAATCAGGAGCCGTTCAGATGTTTTACCACCAATTCCTGAACTCACAGTGTATGTGTGTGTGTGTGTGTGTGTGTGTGTGTGTGTGTGTGACACCCATCACATCACACGCACGCCCTGCCGGCCCCGCAGCCTGTGCTCTGGGTCCCAGCCCCTGAGCTAACCCCTTGCTGGGCCCCGCTCCCCGGGGACAAGGGCGCCATCTGCCGGGGAAATGATGTGTTTGTGGGGGAGCGTGGAGCTGCCAAACACGCCCTGACTTCCTGCAGCCACGCAAACCCATCACAGAGCCCGGCCACCGGCCAGGCCTCTCGGCCGCCGCTCCGCTCCGGAGGGCGGGACAGGCGCCGGGCCTTCCGGGTTTCCCTCGGACCCGCTCGGGGTTTCGCGTTTCAGCTCCTCCCGGCGCCGCCCGCCTCCCCTCCCTCCCGGCCTCCAAGATGGAGCCTCTGGAGCCTCTGGCGCCGCCGCTGCGCTCGGGGCCGCGGGCCAAGGCGCTGGCCGTGCTGCTGGCGCTGGCGCTGGGCGCGGGGACGCTGCTGCTGCTGCGGCTGAGCGCCCGCCCGCCCCGCGCCCGCAGCTTCTACGCCTTCGAGGTGAAGGACGCGGCGGGCCGGCCCGTCTCCCTGGAGAAGTTCAGAGGCAAAGTGAGTCTCGGGCGCCGCGGCCCGGTTCTCTGCGCGGCCCTGCGCCGGCCGCGGCGGGCTGCCGTTTACAGCAGAGAGAGGGCACGGGGTCCGCCGGCTCCCGCCTCTGCCCTCGCCGTCTCGCCGTCTTTCCTGAACCGCTCTCCCTGGGCTCTTGATGGTCAGGACGCGCTTGTAGCTGGGATGCGACTGTGGAGGCGCCACATGAGGCGCATCTGCCAGCGACCATCTCTCTTAAAAGCAGCCTCTGGGCAGCGGATGCCTCAGCGGGGTCAGGGGTCAGGGGCGGGGGGGGGGGGCGGTTGGAGGGGGACCCGCTGGGGTCCGGGGCGTCACGCCGGGCTGAGGGTCTCCCCGGAGGGCCAGCTGCTGGCGGGGCCGCTCTGCCCGCCCTGCCTCACCCTGTTGGCGTCTCTCTTTCCCGGAGGTCACGCTCGTTGCCAACGTGGCCAGCGACTGCCGGCTCAGCGACAGCAACTACGCGGGGCTGCAGGCGCTGCAGCGCGAGTTCGGGCCCTTCCACTTCAGCGTGCTGGCCTTCCCCTGCAACCAGTTCGGGGAGGCCGAGCCCCGCCCCAGCAGGGAGGTGGTGTCCTTCGCCAGGAGCGCCTACGGGGCCACCTTCCCCATCTTCCACAAGATCAAGGTCCTGGGGCCGGAGGCCGAGCCCGCCTTCCGGTTTCTGGTGGGTGAGTATGCCTACGCCGCAGGGGAAGGCGAGACGGGGCCACGCTCCTCTCTCCTTCCGAAAGCTTTCGGGCCGTCTTATCGGCCCGTCAGAGCCAGGGTCGCACCCTATCCCACTTCCCACAAGCCATGCTCCCTGAAACCAGTGTTTGGACGTCTTGGGTGACAAAGCAGAGCCATCCCCATGTCGTAGCCTTACCGTCGTTTCACTGCAATGTTGTTTGCGAAGTGGCCACAGTGGCCACGGATTCCCGTCTTTTTTTAAAAAATATATATTTTATTGATTTTTTTACAGAGAGGAAGGGAGAGGGATAGAGAGCTAGAAACATCAATGAGAGAGAAACATTGATCAGCTGCCTCCTGCACACCTCCTACTGGGGATGTGCCCGCAACCAAGGTACATGCCTTTGACCGGGATCGAACCCAGGACCCTTCAGTCCGTAGGTGGACGCTCAATCGACTGAGCCACACCGGTCAGGGCTTCCTTATGATGGTTTTACTGAAAACGTTGCTTGCGAAGTGGCCACAGCTGTGTGCGCGGAGTCCCCTAGCCTTTGATGGGGCCCCTCCCTGGATAACGCTCTCCTGGTGAGCAGTGCAGAGCGCCCCCTGTCAGTCACTCACGTCCGCGCTGGACTGCATGTCTTAGAGGAGGAATGACACTCCCTTTACCAGGTTTTTGCTAAAATCCAAAGCAGAATGAACACTTCTGGGAGGAAGCGGAGCTGGGCTGTCACTGCAGCATCTGGGGGAGCAGGGAGGCAGTAAGGGGGTGACTGAGGCACAGGCTGTAGCCCCGTCTGCCCAGCCGAGCCGGCCCCGCCCTTCGCTGTGTGGCTCAGGCATGTCGCTGACCCTCTCTGGGCCTGTCTCGTTTGTACATGCGACGGTCAGTGTGTCCACCCCTAAGGCGTTGGAGAGATGGGTTAGCGTGAGAGAGAAGGGCATGTCCCCTGCCCGCTGCCTCAGGACCTCATGCTGACCCCTCATTTAGCAAGGCCTCTGGTCCGTCCCCGGCCGGTCTCCCTGCCAGTCACGGGGCCCTGTGCCCCAGCACAGCACAGCTGGCGGGTGGCCGCCGTGCGGGGAGCTGGCTGATGGGCCGCACCGGCTCCGGGCGCTTGGCCTGTTTGTGACGAGGTGGCGACCGGACGGTGGTTCTAGCTGTCCGTGGCAGCTCCCCCAGAACGGAGAGTCCCCACAGAATGCAGCCACACTCACGCCTGCCTCTGTCGTTCCAGATTCTTCCAACAAGGAGCCGCGGTGGAACTTCTGGAAGTACCTGGTCAGCCCCGAGGGCCACGTGGTGAGGTCCTGGCGGCCCGAGGAGCCCGTGGACGCCATCCGGCCTGAGGTGGCCGATCTGATCCGGCAGATGATCGTCCGGAAGAGGGAGGACCTCTGAGCCACGCCGTCAGACAGTCCGAGTCCGCTCCACGGCGGTGCGGCCCGAGGGCAGACCGGCCAGGCGTGCGCTGCCCGTGGCAGGCGGCCCGCAGCAGCCATGGCCCCAAAGCAAACGCCCGTCCGAGGAATCCCTGGCACACACTCAGCCCCGGGGCCACATGGAGCTGCACGGGGCAGTCCCCGTGAGTTCAGGTCCTCATGCCCAGTGGACACTGCCTGGGCCCTCCCTCCTGGACATGCCCACACACTAGGCCACCGCCTGCCTGGCACATGCGGAGAGCTGACTGTAAATGACTGTTTATGCAATGAAACACAAAGCCCTACCTAATAAAGTGATATGCAAATTAACAATCACACCCTCACACAAGATGGCCAGCAGGGGAGGGCAGTTAGGGGCGATCAGGCCAGCAGAGGAGGGCAGTTAGGGGCAACTTATGATTATTTGGCCTGATGTAATAAAACACAGGCCAGCAGGGGAGGGCAGTTGCAGGGGACCAGGCCTGGAGGGGAGGGCAATTAGGGGTTACTGGGCCAGCAGTTAGGGGCAACCGGGCCGGCAGGGGGCGGCCCTTAGGAGGGACCGTGCCAGTAGGGGAGCAGTTAGGCGTCAATCAGGCTGGCAGGCAGAAAGGGTTAGGGGCAATCAGGCAGGCAGGCAGGCAGGCAAGTGGTTGGGAGCCAGCAAGGCTGGATTGTGAGAGGGATGTCCGAGGGATCCCAATTGGAGAGGGTGCGGGCTGTGCTGAGGGACACGAATTTCATGCACCAGGCCTCTAGTAAACAAAGTCCTTATATAGAGATCCAAATCCTTATATTTGGGGTCTTTTTCATTTACTGAATTTTCTTTTTTATGCACAGTTCATAGGATGCTTTAATTATTGATGAAAGCATTACGGATGTCCCCCTTCCTCCCCCATGACCCCTCCAGCCGTCCCCGCCCCACCTCCAGGCCTTCAGCACATAGTACGTTGGCCAAATAGTCCTAATCAATGACATCATCATTGTAACATTTGAAAAGGCCTTCGTCACTTTCAATATCTCGCCATTATTGTCCAGAAGACAAATTCCACAAACACAGTCGGAATCCGTCTTGACTTCTGAGTGAAAACCCAAGTGTGAGAAAGTAGCCCTGGCTGTACGTAAGAGTCCTTTGGGTTAACGCTGGCGCTAATCTCGTCCGAGGGACTGGCCACGGGAAGACTTCACTGTGACGTCACCTGAGGGGGACATCGTGCGAGTCTCCCCGAGAGCCAGCATCCACGGAGGGAGCAGCTGCCGGCGCCAGGTCCTCGCACGAGCGACCCGCCTCCTCCCGTCACCGCGAACTGTGCTCCCCGAGCGCCCCCTCGGCTCTGAGCCTCAGTCACCGGGCAGCGGCCACGTGGGTGAAGGTTAGTGGCTGCACCAGGAAACACTCACTTCATGAAAGAATTAAATATGAAAGCAGGAGGCCCAGCCAGCGTGGCTCAGTGGTTGAGTGTTGACCTATGAACCGGGAGGTCAGGGCACATGCCTGAGTTGCCAGTTCGATGCCCAGTGTGGGATCAAACCACGACCTCCTGGTTCATAGGTCAACGCTCAACCACTGAGCCACACGGGCCGGGCTACATTTCTTAACTGTCGCACATATAGCACATGCCCAGTGGTGGTGTGTCTGTAGCGTGTGCACATACATGTGCACATTTCCTGACTGTAATACATTTAACAGGCATCCAGTGGCAGCTGGTGAAGGCTGAACAAACAACTCTGTGGAGGGGGAGTTGCAATTTGCCAGTTTCCCTGGTGCCAGTGCTCCCACGGGGTTGCTGATGGACCGGCTTGCAAACGTCCTGAAAAGTTAACGGTTGATCCTCACAGCCTCTCCGAGCAGGCCCAGCACCCACATCTGAGACACCAGAGTCCCAGGTCTCAGAGGCTCTCCCCAGAGACATCTGAGCCATCACCTGTGCCTTACGGAGAGATGCCCGGCTCTGGGTGGAGGGTCCCGCTGGGCCCAGGGACCTGGCGGGCCTGTCCGCAGGAGGGAAAACACTGAATCACACACAAACCCCAGAAAAACAGCGCTCTGCTCTGGATTTACCTCCTTGAGGACATGCACTGCGTCTGAACGCCCGCCTCCCACAGCTCCAGGCCAGTGGCCCCGCAGGAAAGCTCCCCTCACCGTTTCCCTGAAAGACTGACGAGTGTGTGTGGGCAGGGCTGGAAGGGGACCTGTGTGTGTGGTGATCCCTCAGCGGGTTTTCCTCTTTGCCCTGGGATTACAGCCATCACGCTCCCCCCCCCTCCTTTCCCCCCACTATCCCCCCACTCTCCCTCCCCTCCTCGCAAAGGCCACGCCTTCAGAGGGAAGCTTTTCTCTGGGGGAGAATGAAGAGCAGCAAGGAACTGGGAGCCCTCCCCAGGGTAGTGAGGGGAGTGGTGAAAGCACAGAGGCTGCCGAAGAGAAAACACCCCAGAGAAAACAATCCCCATCCACAGGGCCTCCCTCCTCCTCCTCCCCCTCCTCTCTCCTTCCTCCTCTCTCCTTCCTCCTTCCCCTCCTCCCTCTCCTTCTCCTCCTCCTTCTCCCCCTCCCCCTCTCCCCCCTCCTTCTCCCCTACCTCCCCCTCCCCCTCCCTCCTACCCCTCCCTCTCTCCCTCTCCCCCCCTCCTCCCTCCCTCCTTCCTCCTCCCTCTCTTCCTCTCCCCTTCCCTCTCCCTCTCCCCCTCCCCCTCCCCCTCCCTCATGGGAAATGTTTCTTTTTGGAGCTCATGCCCTCGCTCTCCTTACTCACCATCTCCTAATTTCTCTCCATGTGATTCCACTTTCCCTCCTTTCCCAGCATCCCAATGTGGAAATGAAGAACAACTGTGAACACACCTTCTCTTCATTGAGTGTAAATGCTGGCAGTTTATGTCTGCCTCTTTAGTTTACAAAAATTAAAACACAAAGGCCAAGCCTTTTCAATTGAGTAGGTTTTATTTTTATCAACAGCTCAATGACTTCCTATGCAAAACAGCATGCTGCAATTGCACCTTTATGGAAACAGTATCATCTCATCTGGAGGGCTAAACCCGAGATCCAGCAAATGGAATGATGTTGGACACAAAAAGCGGGGGAGAGTTTGGAGTAGAATAACGCACAGGAATGAAGTTACAGGCATCTTCCTATTAGCCCATGGTTCCAGAGATGTCTAACTGTGAATAAGAAAGGAGGTTATGGCACCAGCACAGCAGAGGAGGTGACGTGTTCCTCCGCTCTCACCTGGGTAACCCTCGCCCAGACCCCCAGTCAGTTCTAGGAACAGCAGCTGCTGCCCGCGGGCACGCCCTCCGCAAGCCACACCTCTGCTCACTTCCAAGTCCGAGCCTGAGATGTTACAGGAAAGGAAGACAAAGCCGAGGCCTACCCGAGTAAGAGCCGCCACAGCACCCCCTGTCGAGTCGCTCTCCGCCATGCGGCTCCGCCTGTTACAAGAGTAACCGAGCACAGTGCTGTCACTGCGGCAGTGCCGGCAGCAAGCAGCCCACACATGTTACAGGTTTAGTGGTGCTCGATGCTGTGTGCATGCAATGGGATAGCAGGTGCATGTTAGCTGATGTCATCACATACCAACCAGCTAACAATACACTGCCAGCCCATCACACACCGCCAGTGCCTCGGGCACGGAGAGCCCCGGAGCCGGGGGCAGGGCCGTCACGGGGCGAGCGGGCCCCACCAGCGCTGGCCAGCACCGCCCGTGGCCTCGGCCGCCGCTTCTCCGCCCTGAAGTCCCCGAGGCTGAACTTCACCCTAACAGTCACAGTGAATAAAATATAGAAGACGTGTCCCCACAACCCTTCCAAGAAACACATGTTTTATTCAGTCCTATCAAAACTTATAAAGCTTCCAAATGCTTACACGTTTAGTCTTCCAAAGTGAAAGCCTGGGTACGGGATAGGTTATGAGCACAAATTAATTTAAAAAGTCATACTTACCACATACAGCTTTCCCAGCTGCTTCTGTCCACTAACACCACGGCCGCCCGTGTGGGCAGTAAAAGGCTCAGGAGTGCTGGCGCACAGAGGCGGCGGGACCCCTCAGCTGGTGGGGGCGGCAGAGCATTGGGGATTCAGAAACTCCCCTCGCCCAGGGGCGCACGCCGCGCGCTGCGGGTGCAGCTGTGCCCCCTGTGCAGGGTCCCGCTTACAGGAAAGCTTATAAAAATGGCGATGGGCCGAGACTGCCGCCGCTGGGTAAGAGCACAGGGAAGAGGGATGAGGGTTCCTGCGGGAAGACCAGGGAAAGCCGCTGGGGCGTGCTTCCTACTCACCCGTCACCAGGGAGCTGGCCGGCGGCGGCTCGGGTCAGTGAGCGCGGTGCCCACCGGCCCGGAGGCCCGGCCCGCCGCAAGGTGGCGCCAGCCCCTGCCGGCGGAGCGCGCGGCCGGCAGCGGGAGCGCCGGGCCCTTCAGCGGCTGCACCGGCGGCCGCACACACCGTCCGGCGGCCTGGACCCCCTCCCCGGGCGGAGCCGGTGTGCGGGGCGGGTGGGGGCGGACCCGCAGGCACGGACACGGACACGGAGGATCGCCGGGGACCTTCCCCTCTGCAGTGCAGACCCGCGGGGAGGAGGCCGCTCCGGACCCCGGCGTCGGGCGTCTCTAACCGCTCCCGCCTGCGGGGCACCGGCCCGGCGCCCTCCACACGCCCGGGGAGCGGGGAGCGGGGAGCGGGGACCACGGCCGCTCCCGGCGGGGCCTCCGCGGGGCGGCGACTGCGCTCCAGGGGGAGCCGCCCCGCGAGCCCGGTCTGCAGGGCGCCTCGCCCCGCCTTCGGCGATCCCGAACCCCGCGCCCGGGGCCGCCCAGCTTCACCCCAGCCCGGCCCCCGGGGCCCTGCGGCTCCCGGAGCGGCTCCCGGAGCGGCTCCTGCGGCCCCCGGCCGGCCCGGCCCCCGCGGCTCCCGGAGCGGCCCCGGGCGCGGCGCCTTAAGAAGCCGGCGCGGCGGCCTCGAGCGCGGGAATCCCCTCGGCCGCGT